CAAACATGTCCATAGTACTCTCGTCAGGAGTTAGGATTCAGTATTCAGAAATTAACTTCCATTATTGGGGAGCATATATCATGTGTGTTAACATTCACACTTTCAGTGTGTGTGTGTGTGTGTGCGCGCGTGCATGTTTCATTGGTTTAAGACTATTTTTATTTCTCAACAACGTATGTTATGGATTTACAACTTCTTTAATATTTATAACACAACGTTTCTGGGCTACTTTTTTGCCCCTTCATCAGGTGAATGACAGAATATGATACAAGCAAAATATATAGTATGTACAGGAAGGCAGTGAGATAGTATTACAGATTGAGATGTACAGAGATTAAGTGATGTGTTTAGATGAGATGTTTATTTCTATTTTGCCTTATTAAAGTCAGATATAATATTGTTTACTTTTTGTTTATTTAGTGGGGAATAATATCCCAATAATAATAACTTGTGTACTTGCTTGACTATTTCAATTAACAAAGCTGACAGAGCACTTTGACTTGATGTGGGCCAGACACAGCTTCAGTGGATCCAAGTTAACACGTTGACTGCTTATCAGGAGTATACTCGTGTTATCAAATGTTACCGTGTTATCAAATGTTACTGCCTGGAGATGATTGCTTCTTCTGGCTGTTTTGCCAACATGTGAAATTTGTTATAAAATACCACTGATATAGCTACAAGATAACTCGTGGTGGCAAGTTCTGTTAAATGTGATAACACGAGAATACTCTTGAGAAGCAGTCAATGGGTTAAGGAGCTGTGAAACTTGACACCAGATCACTATCAACCATTCTGTACATTCAACTATAATTCTGTCTAAGTTGAGTGAAGCTCATTGGGATCAAGTGAGAAAAGCCATGGCCGAGATTCTACAAGGAGAGTCTCCTCAAGACATGGTGAAAAGTGAGGTTGACTCTGAACTGTGGCATCTGAGACAGGGCTACCATCAGACGAAGAGACAGTGGCATCATGTCTCAAGATCACTTAAGACTTCCAGGACAAGACAATCATGTTCACGAATTTGTCCTAAAGAAAGTAGATGTTTGGAATGGAGGGAACTCCTGTGATACCTGTGTCAGAGATAAGCATAGACTGGAAATAGACCTACAGAGGTGTGATGTTACCACTGCCAATCTCAAAGCGGACATCAAGCAAATCACGACATTGGAGACGTGTCAGTCAGAAATATCAAAACTGATAACAAATGTCACAGTGACTTTCAATACCCCCGTTCCTCTAAAAGGAACATCCAGACCATCTGTGTTGACAACGTCAGTGACGACACCTACGCCAGAGGAGGAGAAACGTAGGTTGCCGATACAATACCTGCAGGGAAGATGGAGCAGGAAAGTGATTGAAACTTGAAGATACAGGTGAATACCCTGCTATTGAAGAGCTTGAAGATACAGGTGAATACCCTGCTATTGAAGAGCTTGAAGATACAGGTGAATACCCTGCTATTGAAGAGCTTGAAGATACAGGTGAATACCCTGCTATTGAAGAGCTTGAAGATACAGGTGAATACCCAGCTATTGAAGAGCTTGAAGATACAGGTGAATACCCTGCTATTGAAGAGCTTGAAGATACAGGTGAATACCCTGCTATTGAAAGGCTGGTGGACTTTGTCCTCAAGGCTGCAGATGAAGCAAATGTTTTGGCACTACCAAGGGCACATGTTTCGAGCTTTTATTACAAAAGAAAATTAAGCATTTTATTCCTTTTCATTATTGTAGCATATTTAATGTCTTTCTTTTAGCATAATACTTCCGACAAAGACCTGGAAATCCATGCAGATGCATCTGAACTAGCAGGGCTCTAAGAGAGGGAGAGGCCAGTCTGGCCACAAGAGGGTAGGGGTTGTCCAGTCCACAGCTACAGTACGGATCTCCTGGATCACTGGATCCGATTCCATCAGCCCCAGGTGCACCTGTTCTCCTGTGGAACGTGTGGCAAGAACTTCGAGAAAAGAAGGTGACTAAGAAACATGCCAGAACGCACGAGCCAACAGGAACCGTCGCCACCGTCTCCTGGCAAAACAGGAGGTACGTTTGACCCATTCTCTCCCCGTTAAAAGAGTGGAATGTTAGGTCTTATGTAGGGGGATGCAAGGTTCCTTATATTAGTGTTAGGTCGGGTCGGGGGAAAATTAGCAGTAGGAAACGGAGTAGGATTTTGGTTATTGATTTTGGGTAATGTTCGGTTAAAACAGCGTTGGTTTGGGTGGTTTTTAGAAGTTTAAAGATTTCATGTAGCTGGATTGTTAATAAGCTATGTGAGCGAGAGAATTTATAGGTTGTTAATTTTTTGTTTGTATTTTTCTACCTAATTTCTTTTGTAATAAACTATTATCATTGTTCATTTTGTCTCTGTTATTTCCCAGTAGGCTTTATGCCCGATTCACGAACTGGTTACCCCAGTCAACCCGAACGCACACCTATAAAATAAAAGTACACAACACAAAGTCCAAGAAAGGTTGATTCAACAGCATGTTCCTACATACTACGTTAGCTTTACTCTTGGCGACGGTAGTTTAGTGAGAAACACACCTATTACACTGCAATGAACCTGCAAAAAGATGTAGTGAGCCCAGTCACGTGACTAGAGGCCAGAACTATGACCAGGTCGAAAAACTTCAAGTTACAACACATTCAAAATTTACTTGACAAGGCCAGAATCAAAGTAGGTACAGATGATGAACTCCCTGATGCTGACCGTTGTCAACGAAATTGCAACGAAATTGCGGGTTGCACAGTAGCTTAAACAACTCAAGACGAAAAGATTTTAAGACGGATTTCTTCCCTTTATAAACAATGATAAACATTGTGTTCAATGGAAGCTGTGGCCCCAACAAACTTGTTTGGTGACGACCTCCCAAAACATCATAAAGGACATAACAGAGAGAAAAGAATTAAGCAACAAACTTCATGGCTCTGCCAAGCTCAACAGGGGTTTTCCTTCATCACCATTTTCACGTGGGGCCCACCATTGCCCTGGTAACATATTCAGGCCTTATGATTCATCTTACAAAGGTCATAAGAGAGTTGGCTTTTACTAGAGGAGGTCAGTCAGGCAATTATGGATCAACAGGTCAACAAAATTCCTAGTGCATCTGTATAAGTTAGGTCTCAGCTTCTCTGCAAATTACTCTGCCAGATCAACCCTGTCTAATATTGTGAAGACACCAGAAGGGAATAATAATCCCCCCTGTCACAACATATTCAAGAAGATTTTTCACTTTAAGGCCTTCTTTACCGTGCTATAATGTGATGTGGGACAGGAGAAGAGTTATCAACTTTCTCAGGTGTGGTAAAGACAACTGAATCCTTGCTGAAGCTTCTGTGAAGACTGAAGACAGTGAATTCAATGGCTCCATTTAACTGACAGTAGAAATATTGACATTTCTAACACACAGGTCAAGATCAGATTTGGGGACTTGTTGAAACAGACAGGGCATGGGTATCAACAGAAAGAATGATCCCGAACAATTTAGACAAAGCTTTGTATATTGTGGCCTTGCTAACTCAGTACTAATGGCCTTGAGGAGAAGAAACAACCTTATTTATAGCAACGCTGAAACCATACAAAAGGTTTCTTAGGAAACAATTACAAGATGGGTGAAGACAGTACTCAAGAATTCAGGCATAAATATGGACATTTTTAAACTTCATAGTAAAAGAGCAGCTTCAACAAGTAAGGCCCATAATCTAAAAGTGCCTTTAATACTGACTGAATGACTGAGTTTTGGTTTTACACAGCTTTTAGCAATATTCCAACAACATCACGGCAGGGGACACCAGAAATGGGCTTCACACATCGAACCCGGACGAGTCAACGCTTTAACCGCTAGGCTACCCCACCGCCCCGCCATTAATACAATCAAATAGGGAGTGTGTGTTTGGATGCTTCTTCAACAAACCAATATTACATGACAATGTTTTCAGTAATGTCATTTTACAATCTGGTATGTCATCTAGATCTGAGTAATCTCCTTGTCTGGATCTACTTCCCTTAAATTTGAAGATTTAGTCTAAATTTAGCGATGGGACAATGAGTTAAAAAAAATTCAATGTACTGTTTTGGAATACATAATAAATGTTATGAAGAAATGGAATTTGTATTTTCCGTTTCTATTTGGGTCACTGGCCCAGTTTTGAAAATATGCTTCCTGCACTAAGAATCTTAAGTGATTCTGATAGCACGATGTAGGGAGAGGGCGATATTAAATGAGACTTACCTGTAAGGTGAAGCCCAAAATTAATTCCACCAGCCTGTGAAGTACTGAGGGATTCCCACTCACACCCTTGATGGCTTGGAACTGTATTTCTACCCTAAAGACTGATGATTCAGCACATACACACAACTTACGTAATCCCTTGGTACTTAATAGTTTCTAATACAAACAAATAATTATGCTTAGATTGAAAAGGATATAAACCCATAAGTGCTCTAGGCATGTTTGAGTTACATACTGTCATGTATATATGTGAAAATCTAAACTGATATTTCTTATAAGAGTGAGTGAGTGAGTGAGTAAGATGGGTTTTATGCTGCTTTTAGCAATATTCTAGCAATATCATGGCGGGGGACACCACATAAGGGCTTCACACATCATGGGCGGATCCAGGAATTTTGAAGGTGGGGGCTGGGGTGGGGGTGTTTTCAGGGGTTGAATGCCCTGAACCCCCAATTGGCTCAGCCAACGCAAAAAAAAATCTTCAATGTCGTCTTAAGTCATGTTCAAAGGGTGTGTGTGTGTGTTGAACCCCCCCTCTGGATCTGCCAATGCACATTGTACCCATGTGGGGAATGGAACCCAGGTCTTCGGCGTGATGAGCAAATGTTTTAACCATTAGGCTACCCCACCGTCCCATTTCTCATAAGACTGACTGACTGAGGTTGGTTTTACGCTGCTTTTAGCAATATTCCAGCAACATCACGGCAGGGGACACCAGAAATGGGCTTCACACATTGTGCCCATATGGGGATTCGAACCCGGGTCTTCGGCGTGACGAGCCAACGCTTTAACCATTAGGCTACCCCACCGTCCCATTTCTCATAAGAACTTTGAGGATCAACTAAGTATGTTTAAACTTGTCAAAATCATACAGCTTGTATAGAAAGATGAACTTAAACATATCACTCACAGACATCATACACACTGTTCTCTAGGGGTGAAACGGTATGCCACAGTACAAGTGGAACAGCAGTATTTTGCCTTCAGTTCGGTATACCGTAATACAATCCAAAATTTGGTATTTCAGTTTTCGTACCTTATATTAACCTTTTAAAACCTTTTCTAAAAAGTCTAGAAATCGAATCAGTTTGTCAAAATCCATGCATTTCTTTGTTAGACGGCTGCTATTTTCCCAGAAGTAAGTTCTCATATACCGAACCGAAACGGACCTAACCGAGGGCTTTGTACCTCAATACGAACCATACCATGGTAAGAGCGTACCTTTTCACCCCCATTGTTCTCCATCTGATTCAAATGGTGTAAGAGTTCATCTGTCAAACAACAGATTCAGATACCGACTCACATCCATCTTTCTTGGTTCTAATGTGACACTTGAGATGTGTCCTTAGACTGCTGTATTCTGTAAATGATTTCTTACACTCAAGACACTGGAAAGGTTTTTCTCCAGTGTGACTCCTCATATGAGCCTTCAGATTGCCAGAAGTTGTAAATGCTTTCACACACACACCACACTGGTATGGCTTGATCCCAGTGTGAGTCCTAGTGTGGATCTGAAGCTGACCCGAACAGACAAATGCTTTCCCACACTCCGTACACGCAAACGGCTTGACTCCACTGTGATACTTCATATGAGTCTTCAGGCCTCTGGATGTTGTAAACGTCTTCAAACACTCACCACACTCAAAAGGTCTAATGCCGTTGTGACGTCTCACATGCGCCACCAGTTGGCTTGACTGTCTGAAAGCTTTTTCGCACTGGCTACACTTAAAGGGCCTGACACCATTGTGATAGTCCAAGTGTGATTTCAGACCACCTGACGTTCGGGAAATCTCTCCCGCACTCTGTGCACTGGTAGGGTTTGATTCCAGTATGAATCCTCATGTGTATTTTAAGGTCATTTGATCAGCTAAACCCTTTCTGACATTCACTACATTTAAAAGGCCTGATTCCACTGTGGCTACTCATGTGTCTCTGCAGGTCAGTGGATCATCTAAACGCTTTCTCACACTGACTACAAGTGTACGGCTTCACCCCACTATGACTCATCATGTGTCTGTGCAGGTCGTTGGATTGGGTAAACGTCTTCCCACACACACTACATTCGTAAGGCTTCACACCACTGTGACATCGTAGGTGCCTTTGAAGGTCACTTGATCGGATGAATGTTTTCCCGCACTCACTACACTCGTGAGACTTGTCTCCACTCTGAGACATCACATCTTCCTGGTCGTCTGGTTGTGTCAAATTTCTGTGACATCTTAGGTGGCTCTGAAGGTCGCTTGATCGGATGAATGTTTTCCTGCACTCACCACTCTCATGAAACTTGTCTCCGCTCTGAGACATCACATCTTCCTGTTGGACGTCTGCTTGTGTCAAAGTTCTTTCATAAGGACTGACGTCACCCCGACACCTCAACAGATCAAGTGTTCCAGAGTCTTGCTCACATTCACAATTCAACTTACCCAGCAGAAAGAAAAGTGTCAAACCTTTGAAGGTACTTGCAACAAGACTTCTACAGGGACAGAAATACCCTAAAGCTGCTCTGAATATTTCATATGCAGAATGGAAATTCCAAGTGTTGGAGAAATGGCAAAGGATCACTATGATCAAACATGCAATGTTCATTCCTGACATCAACTCCAACAGACACATTGATTGGTTTTATGTTCCTGAATTCTCTGATTCAAGAAGGCAATTAGAGGTCAAGAAGATTGACTTGCATGATTTGCTCACTCGTCACCGTTCAGCCATTTGCAAAGGGCACTTTTGACATGCTAAGAAGCTGCATTTCATTCAAGTAGCAGCCGAAAATTCAACCCCTTTAAAACTTGGAATGATGGAACAGCAACTGAACATGCAGTCAACTGACTCCGCCCTTATTACCTTCTCACAGAAAGTTCAGAACAGCACAGAGACAGCAGGCCACAGTCAGTACATATATAGATATCAAAACTTAAATATATCTTCCTTGTTTTTTAATAAACATGATCCAACAATTTGTTTGAGGATTTACCGGAGATGACTAGGAACCTATTTTAAATGGTATATTTCTGGAATGAAATTCGTATCAATACACGACTTTAGACAATATCACTGTTAATCTAGCTGCACACCACTTCATTAAACCATTATTTACCTAGGCTTTTAAAATGTTTATTATTGAACAGAAGGAAACAGTTGATCAAGGTTTTTATTGGGTCAGCTTACCTGAATACACCCATCGCTATACAGTGTACATGTGGCATTGTGATTCCTGTTTTCATGGTCTGTACTTGTAACGTTGAGTTATCTAAGCGGTCTGCCATACTTTGTAATTCAGTGGTTGTCAGTTTAATTCGTTTGAGTTATCTGGCTTTGTTGACAACTTGCTTTGAATGTATGCGAAATGTGGGCGATAACGATGTCTTGCGAACTTCCAAGTTATAGTGTAACCCTTTGATACATCATAATGTTGCACATATCAGTACGTACAAATGTTCTGAAAGAAATCTGTGTTATGACTGTGAAATTAGCATATGGTGCGATTTGAAATATTGTGGAGATGTGTGCGCTTACTGACACTGAGTGGATTGAGTGAGTGAGTGAGTTGGGTTTTATTCCACTTTCAACAATATTCCAGCAATATCACGGCAGTGCACTCTGTCTAATTCGGACCAGCTTGGGACCGACTAAAAAGTCCGAATTATACAGTAGTCCGAAGTACACAGATTTTAATGGAGTTATCTCCCTATTATCAGCAGAATTAAAATTATAAACTATTTTTCGCAATGTTATTGAAAACAACGATTCTCGGACACCTGCTTCGGCAGCGGGTCCACAATAACATTGTCAAAGAGCAAAGTAACGATGTTTCGAGGAATTCATGAAATAAATTGAATAAACTAATGAATGAAATCAACAACAACATTCATAAAAGTTGTCAAACGTACATATAAAATTACTATTTCCATCTTTTTGTGCGATCATGTAATGTAAGTCAAGTCACTGACAAGTGACATCTCGGCTCTCGCCGCCTCAATCTTCACGCTCGGACACGATGTTCAATGCGAAAATATATACATGAAGCATTTTTTGTCACAGGTCATAGCCTAGCACGATAAGTCGAATACGTTCCATAATTTACGTATAGGTAGCAATTTCTTACTTAATATGTTCAGAATAGCATTATTTTACCCAAAACTTTTGTCTAAATCTAAAAGTTTTCGTTTACGAGGACGGTATCCATTGCCGTAATATGATTGGCTGCCTTAGGTCATGTGTCTGATTTTGACCAATCACGACCCTTATAGCAGACTGTGGCGAAAAAGCGTCATTAGAAACCAATCTTTATCCAATAAAATCGCTTCTTACAACTGATTGATATCACACTGTGTCTGATGGCATCTTAAATGCATAGTGACATTGACACTGAGTTGACATGATCGGCTCAATTATAGTTTACAATTGGTGTTAGTCGCATCAAAGGTAAATAAGCGTTCACCGCTAGACCACGCGGTCTTGGCCAAGCGGACTTCCTGCTAAGTAAATAAGACAAAATACACAAACCAATCAACGGAATGTTTATTCAAGGTTTATTGGCCAAGCGGACTTCCTGCTCAGTCCGAATTATATAGCAATGTTTTTACATGTAACTACCTTATCGGGCCGACACTTTGGTCCGAAATCCGAAATAATGAGAGTCCGAGATACAGAACTTTTTTATTATGACAACAAAGAAGGATTACGTCGGGACCGTGAGTTCAGTCCTGTTTATACAGCAATCCGAGAAAGACAGAGTCCGAGTTTGACAGAGTGCACTGTAATGATGATGACGATAAGGAAGTAATATAGCGCTGCTTCCAAACAGCCTTTGCTCAACTGCGCTGAAGAAGAGAGAAAGAAAAGCCTATGAGAGGGATGTTGTGATCAGGTGGGGTTTTAGGCCTTTTTTGAAAGAGTCTTTGTAATTGATTTTTCTGATAGAGAAAGGGAGACTCTACCAGACCAATCTCAAGTCGCAAAAGGAATATTGTATCAAAACAATGTGGAACTTTTGTCTGTCCATTCAACTATAATTCTGTCTATATCAAAGTTGAGTGAAGCTCAACGGGATCAAGTGAGAAAAGCCATGGCCGAGATTCTACAAGGAGAGTCTCCTCAAGACATGTTGAAAAGTCTGGTTGTCTCTGAACTGTGGCATCTGAGACAGGGCTACCATCAGACGAAGAGACAGTGGCATCATGTCTCAAGATCACTAAAGACTTCCAGGACAAGACAATCATGTTCACGAATTTGTCCTGAAGAAAGTAGATATTTGGAATCGAGAGAACTCCTGTGATACCTGTGTCAGAGATAAGCATAGACTGGAAATAGACCTACAGAGGTGTGATGTTACCATTGCCAATCTCAAAGCGGACATCAAGCGAATCATGACATTGGAGACGTGTCAGTCGGAAATATCACAACTGATAACAAATGTCACAGTGACTTTTAATACCCCCCGTTCCTCTAAAAGGAACATCCAGACCATCTGTGTTGACAACGTCAGTGACGACACCTAGACCAGGGGAGGAGAAACGTAGGGTGCAGATCCAATACCTGCAGGGAAGATGGAGCAGGAAAGCGATTGAAACTTGAAGATACAGGTGAATACCCTGCTATTGAAGTGGGCTTCACACATTGTACCCATGTGGTAAATCAAGCCCAGGTCTTCGGCGTGACAAATATTTTAACCCTCAAGTTAAAGAAGAAAGGGTTCGACCTTAAAAATGTTTCGAGCTTTTATTACAGAAGAAAATTAAGCATTTTATTCCTTTTCATTATTGTAGCATACTTAATGTCTTTCTTTTAGCATAATACTTACGACAAAGACCTGGAAGTCACAAGGCCAGTCTGGTCACAAGAGGGTAGGGGTTGTCCAGACCACAACTGCAGGACAGGCCGAGTTTATAAGTACGGGCGTCTCCTGGATCACTGGATCCGATTCCATCAGCCCCAGGTGCACCTGTTCTCCTGTGGAACGTGTGGCAAGAACTTTGAGAAACGAAGGTGACTAAGGAACATGTCAGAACGCACGAGCCAACAGGAACCGTCACCACCGTCTCCTGGCAAAACAGGAGGTACGTTTGACCCATTCTCGACCCGTTAAAGAGTGGAATGTTAGGTCTTATGTAGGGGGATGCAAGGTTCAATATATTAGTGTTAGGTCGGGTCGGTAAGGTTCGGCTGAAACAGAATTGGTTTAGGGTGTTTTTTAGAAGAAGTTTAAAGGTTAATTGTTAGAAAAGGGTAATTTTAGGTTTCTTATACTAGTGTTAGGTCGGGTCGGGGGAAAATTAGTAGTAGGAAACGGAGTAGGATTTAGGTTATCGATTTTGGGTAATGTTCGGTTAAAACAGGGTTGGTTTGGGGAGTTTTTTAGAAGAAGTTTAAAGGTTTCATGTAGCGGGATTGTTAATACGCTATGTGAGTAGGATAACTGTGTCATTTATAGGTTGTTAAGTTTTTGTTTGTATTTTTCTACCTAATTTTTTTTTTAATAAACTATTATCAATGTTCATTTTGTCTCTGTTATTTCCCAATAGGCTTTATGCCCGATTCACGAACTGGTTTCCGAGTTTTGAACAGAGAACAAGTCAACCCGAACAACTCACACATATAAAATAAAAGTACACAACACAAAGTCCAAGAAAGGTTGATTCAACAGCATGTTCCTACATACTACATTAGCTTAACTCTTGGCGACGGTAGTTTAGCGAGAAACACACCTATTACACTGCAATAGACCTGCAAAAGATGTAGTGAGCCCAGTCACGTGACTAGAGGCCAGAACTATGACCAGGTCGAAAAACTTCAAGTTACAACACATTCAAAATTTACTTGACAAGGCCACAATCCCAGTGGTACAGATGATGAACTCCCTGATGCTGACCGTTGTCAACGAAATAGCAACGAAATTGCGGGTTGCACAGTAGCTTAAACAACTCAAGACGAAAAGATTTTAAGACGGACCTCTTCCCTTTATAAACATTGTGTTCAATGGAAGCTGTGGCCCCAACAAACTTGTTTGGTGATGACCTCCCAAAACATCATAAAGGACATAACAGAGAGAAAAGAATTAAGCAACAAACTTCATGGCTCTGCCAAGCTCAACAGGGGTTTTCCTTCATCACCATTTTCACGTGGGGCCAACCATTGCCCTGGTAACATATTCAGGCCTTATGATTCATCTTACAAAGGTCATAAGAGAGTTGGCTTTTACTAGAGGAGGTCAGTCAGGCAATTATGGATCAACAGGTCAACAAAATTCCTAGTGCATCTGTATAAGTTAGGTCTCAGCTACTCTGCAAATTACTCTGCCAGATCAACCCTGTCTAATATTGTGAAGACACCAGAAGGGAATAATAATCCCCCCTGTCACAACGTATTCAAGAGGATTTTTCACTTTATGGCCTTCTTTACCGTGCTATAATGTGACGTGGGACAGGAGTAGAGTTATCAACTTTCTCAGGTGTGGTAAAGACAACTGAATCCTTGCTGAAGCTTCTGTGAAGACTGAAGACAGTGAATTCAATGGCTCCATTTAACTGACAGTAGAAATATTGACATTTCAAACACACAGGTCAAGATCAGATTTGGGGACTTGTTGAAACAGACAGGGCATGGATATCAACAGAAAGAATGATCCTGAAGAATTTAGACAAAGCTTTGTATATTGTGGCCTTGCTAACTCAGTACTAATGGCCTTGAAGAGAAGAAACAGCCTTATTTATAGCAATGCTGAAACCACACAAAAGGGTTTCTTAGGAAACAATTACAAGATGGGTGAAGACAGTACTCAAGAATTCAGGCATAAATATGGACATTTTTAAACTTCATAGTAAAAGAGCAGCTTCAACAAGTAAGGCCTATAATCTAAAAGTGCCTTTAATACTGACTGACTGACTGAGTTTTGGTTTGATGCCGCTTTTAGCAATATTCCAGCAACATCACGGCGGGGGACACCAGAAATGGGCTTCACACATCGAACCTGGACGAGTCAACGCTTTAACCGCTAGGCTACCCCACCGCCCCGCCATTAATACAATCAAATAGGGAGTGTGTGTTTGGATGCTTCTTCAACAAACCAATATTACATGACAATGTTTTCAGTAATGTCATTTTACAATCTGGTATGTCATCTAGATCTGAGTAATCTCCTTGTCTGGATCTACTTCCCTAAAATTTGAAGATTTAGTCTAAATTTAGCGATGAGACAATGAGTTAAAAAAATTCAATGTACTGTTTTGGAATACATAATAAATGTTATGAAGAAATGGAATTTGTATTTTCCATTTCTATTTGGGTCACTGGCCCAGTTTTGAAAATATGCTTCCTGCACTAAGAATCTTAAGTGATTCTGATAGCACGGTGTAGGGAGAAGGCGATATTAAATGAGACTTACCTGTAAGGTGAAGCCCAAATTAATTCCACCAGCCTGTGAAGTACTGAGGGATTCCCACTCACACCCTTGATGGCTTGGAACCATATTTCTACCCTAAAGACTGATGATTCAGCACATACACACAACTTACGTAATCCCTGGGTACTTCATAGTTTCTAATACAAACAAATAATTATGCTTAGATTGAAAAGGATATAAACCCATCAGTGCTCTAGGCATGTTTGAGGTACGTACTGTCATGTATATATGTGAAAATCTAAACTGAAATTTCTTATAAGAGTGAGTGAGTAAGATTGGTTTTATGCTGCTTTTAGCAATATTCTAGCAATGTCATGGTGGGGGACACCAGATATGGGCTTCACACATCATGGGCGGATCCGGGAATTTTGAAGGTGGGGGTTTTCAGGGGGTTCGAACACCCTGAACCCCCAATTGGCTCAGCCAACGCAAAAAAAAATCTTCAATGTTGTCTTAAGTCATGTTCAAAAGGGGTGGGGTGTGTGTGTGTGTGTGTGTGTGTGTGTGTGTGTGTGTGTGTGTGTGTGTGTGTGTGTGTGTGTGTGTGTGTGTGTGTGTGTGTGTGTTGAATCCCCCCTCTGGATCTGCCAATGCACATTGTACCCATGTGGGAATGGAACCCAGGTCTTCGGCGTGACGAGCCAACGCTTTAACCATTAGGCTACCCCACCGTTCCCATTTCTCATAAGAACTTTGAGGATCAACTAAGTATGTTTAAACTTGTCAAAATCATACAGCTTGTATAGAAAGATGAACTAAAACAAATCATTCACAGACATCATACACACTGTCCTCTAGGGGTGAAACGGTATGCCACAGTACAAGTGGAACAGTGGTATTTTCCCTTCAGTTCGGTATACCGTAATACAATCCAAAATTCGGTATTTCAGTTTTCGTACCTTATATTAACCCTCTAAAACCTTTTCTAAAAAGTCTAGAAATCGAATCAGTTTGTCAAAATCTATGCATTTCTTTGCTAGACAGCCGCTATTTTCCCAGAAGTAAGTTCTCATATACTGAACCGAAACGGACCAAACCGAGGGTTTTGTACCTCAATACGAACCATACCATGGTAAGAGCGTACCTTTTCACCCCTATTGTTCTCCTTCATAAGATTCAAATGGGGTAAGAGTTCATCTGTCAAACAACAGATTCAGATACCGACTCACATCCATCTTTCTTGGCTCTAATGTGACACTTGAGGTGTGTCCTAAGACTGCTGTATTCTGTAAATGCTTTCTTACACTCAAGACACTGGAAAGGTTTTTCTCCAGTGTGACTCCTCATATGAGCCTTCAGATTGCCAGAAGTTGTAAACGCTTTCACACACACACCACACTGGTATGGCTTGATCCCAGTGTGAGTCCTAGTGTGGATCTGAAGCTGACCCGAACAGACAAATGCTTTCCCACACTCCGTACACGCAAATGGCTTGACTCCACTGTGATACTTCATATGAGTCTTCAGGCCTCTGGATGTTGTAAACGTCTTCAAACACTCACCACACTCAAAAGGTCTAATGCCGTTGTGACGTCTCACATGCGCCACCAGTTGGCTTGACTGTCTGAAAGCTTGTTCGCACTGGCTACACTTAAAGGGCCTGACACCATTGTGATAGTCCAAGTGTGATTTCAGACCACCTGACGTTCGGAAATCTCTCCCGCACTCTGTGCACTGGTAGGGTTTGATTCCAGTATGAATCCTCATGTGTATTTTAAGGTCATTTGATCGGCTAAACCCTTTCTGACATTCACTACATACAAAAGGCTTGATTCCACTGTGGCTACTCATGTGTCTCTGCAGGTCAGTGGATCGTCTAAACGCTTTCTCACACTGACTACATTTGTACGGCTTCACCCCACTATGACTCATCATGTGTCTGTGCAGGTCGTTGGATTGGGTAAACGTCTTCCCACACACACTACATTCGTAAGGCTTCACACCACTGTGACATCGTAGGTGCCTTTGAAGGTCGCTTGATCGGATGAATGTTTTCCCGCACTCACTACACTCGTGAGACTTGTCTCCACTCTGAGACATCACATCTTCCTGCTCGTCTGGTTGTGTCAAAGTTCTGTGACATCTTAGGTGGCTCTGAAGGTCGCTTGATCGGATGAATGTTGTCCCGCACTCACCGCACTCACCACTCTCATGAAACTTGTCTCCACTCTGAGACATCACATCTTCCTGTTGGTCGTCTGCTTGTGTCAAAGTTCTTTCATACTCGGTCTGTTCATAAGGACTGACATCACCCTGACACCTCGACAGTTCAAGTGTTCCAGAGACTTGCTCACATTCACAACCATCCCTCACTATGTTAACTTCAGCATCTGACTTCAAGAAACAAAATTGAGGTAATTCTTTCCCACACTCATTACTCTGAGGCTCAACAGCACCGCTAGACATCATATGTCCACATGTATCAGAAGATAACTTGATCATGAACATGCTTTCCCAAACTCAATTCACTGAAAAATAGTCTTGATTCCCTACTGACACATCTTGTGCCTCTGCAGGTCACTTGTACACGATTTCTCACACTCAGATATGGTCTGTCTCCATTGCAGTACATCAGGTGTTTCTCCAGGTGCCTGATTCAGTCAGTGCTTTCCCACACTCCCTACACTGACATGGCTTGATGGATTCTAATCTCAAATGCTTCACAAGATTAATTCAATAATTGCTATCAAGTGTTTTGCGTAATTTTCCCAAGATTTATTTCTGTACTCTGCTTTCATCTTCCATAACGGTGATGGAGAAAGATTTCTTGAATATTTTATGCTGACCTCAAATAATGACTGTCATCTTCTGATACTTCACTGAGAAGACCACTCCAGATTAAACTGACCAGATTACTTGGCTCTCAGCCTTGTTGTGGAAGCTCCCTGGAGTAAAAGAATGAAATAATCACAATTCAGCAATTGACCATGAAAAGGTGAAGCAGTTTCGGGAAGTTTTAGAAATAGATAGAACATGAACCATTTATGGCTAATATCTTTACTGAGTGCGAACATAAGATGCATACTGGGCTTTAGACCAATGAAGTTGCCCCCACCCATCTACCTGATAGGTGACCATTAAAGGTCTGGGTTAGAATTGGTCTCCAGCAAATCATGCTTGTCAAAAGAGGCAACTAACAGGATCGGGTAGTCAGGCTTGCTGACTTGGTCGAGACATGTCATTGTACCTTGGGGTATGAACCCTATAAAAAAATCAACTTAGTCAGGAGGGATGTCCCACGACCTATATAATAGCAAGTTCAAGTTCACAAGTCATAGTTTCATTCCCTATGAATCTACTGTAAAAGAAATACTCAAATAGTCACACAATCAAGTATTCGAGGTTACTGTATGACATATTATTTCACGAATGGCATGAGAAATTCTAAATGGCGATAACTGTTACAGTTAGTTTTGAGAAAACATCTATTTATACTGTCATGATTCACTTCCCGCCGCGTCATATAAAAACATGATCCGCGGCAGTGAACGGACTGGACACATCAGTGAATAGCTCATTAAGTATCATAATTAATTCTGTTTCATTAATTTAACGAACGGCAGAGTAAATTTGTAAATACCGCTAAAATATGGCGATAACTGTTCGCTAGCCAGTACAGACTTGCTTCGTATTGTGTCGTAGCACTACACAACTGCTGATACCTGGAATTGATAGGGAAGTGGGGTAAGGTGGGTGTGTGACCTTTTGTATGTGCTTTGATTACCATGATTAGTAACGGTTTACATATTGTGTTTGTGATTTCTATGCAAGGCTTTTGGGTGGACACAATGGAAAACAAAATGGTTAAGGCCCTGTGAAACAGGCAATCGCCACACCTGTGTCTGCCACTAGCCTTATCTTCCATCCGGAGGGGGTAGGGTAGTCTGTCTCACAGTCCCTGAACCACATTATTTTCCCTACTGCCAAGCCAAGCCCTCTCTGCAGTGCTAAAGCCCTAAATAAAGCAAGTCTAGATTCCCTCAGGTTCTGAATCTCTGGTCTCCCTGGGGTTCCTTTTCAATTTAAATGGGCTTGTTTGTTACTATCAAAATTATATATATTCAGAGACTAAGCATTAGTCTAGTGGTAGGGGTGTAAGAAATTGGGAGCAGGAGGGAAAGTGACTCACGAACTGTTTACAAACAGTCAATTTAATTTATGTTTGAAGGTCTGCACAACACTTGGTTTGTTTACTACAAGATGAGTATATTCTATTTATCCCCATTCCAAATTCCATTCCAAACTCCATTCCATACTTTACACTATGCCCTTTTTTGACCCCTAGACCTATATCACATGGATTGGATATTCGAAAATGTGGAAATCTATAAATGTCTAAAAAATGCTTTAATCTCGTTTTATAGCTAAAACACATGGAAATATCATGAAACGGCCCTCCTATTATCAGAAATTTGCGGGCCGCTGCAAATGATATTGGACCGCTCAACCTTAACGACGGGCCACTATCAGTTCTGTTGTCAAGTGCCGTCATAGTGGGTGCGTCGGTTCATTCGACATTGGCTTTGGACTGGCACATATTCTGGGTCAAACAAGTCAAAGCAACCCGAATTCCCGCTTTAAATAGCGGTAATATTGGCTTTCTTGTTGGTGCTAACCTCAACAATTGCACTGTTAATGTTGCTGTTGGACCAAAACCGAACACTGACATGGTTTGGCATGATGCAGGCTATGGTCTTGTCAAAGGCCAAGGTCGAATATTGTCACTTTCTGTTGTGACGTCACTTGAATTGTTCGATGACGTAATTGCATTCGGGCAGTCAACCCCGTCATAAGTTGGTTTTGAGTAAACTTACAGTCAAATTCCTTCATTGTTTCCTTTTTCTTTTCAACACAAATTCCATGTATTTAAGCAATAATAACGGTAATGCTATTTTTTTAGGGCATTATCATTTGCAGAAGCCCTCAGTCTTTTACAACTGCCCTCCTTCGTCGGACAGTTAATGGAAGACCTCGGGCTTCTGCAAATGATAATGCCCTCAAAAATAGCCTTACCCTTATATTATCTGCATGACTCATCAATTTAACATTACTGTGTTTATTCAAAGGACTTCATTGCTTGAGTATTTGTTTATTTATATATATATATTTATTTACACTATATATTTATTTATTATATTTTTTACTTTAATTGAGTTTTGGAGCAGCTGACTGAACCAAATCGAACCTATTTGACCAAGATATTGCGAGAGCCTCCATGCGGTACGTCCTATGACTATGTCCGCATCGTGTCTCTCGGCAAGCCAAGATAGGGCCTATCCAAAACAGATGACTTGGCTGATTTCGGGTGATGGCCTCTCGTATATAAAGTACATATTCTGGGACATTACAATTACGCAATTTGTTTTCAACGTTTAGCGCTATAAATTATAATTGAGAACAAAATAGTGAAATTTCAATTTTTATTTATTTTTTATAAATGGTCCCTAACTTGTCCTGTATGGTAACAATAAATACAGTCCCTCACCAAGTGGCATAATGAAAGTGGTCTGGAAAATATACAATATATACCATTTGCGTACGGGTGTTAAATATACTTACATTCCACAACAAATGCCACATCACCGCGACAGCATACCTCTGCCACTAATGTGTCACAAATTATCTTCCCCGCGAAGTATGCGTGTGATAACGGCTTCATCCAAAACGACGCTATGTGGGTCTCCAAAACGGCCAATATTGCCACGTTATCATCAGATCTATAATGAATGAATGTTGTTGAATTCATACCATGATCCTCGATCTATGAGGCCTGTGATCCCACTGACGAAAATATCATTTGCTTAACATTTAAAGAGGTACCATAAGTTATAATTCAATAACTGAACCTAGATATTTATAGAATGCCCTTTCCAAAATTGTGCTTAAATGTGCTTTCAGACGTAGGCTTGTGCAAAGGCTTGGAGGTGTGTCTTGAGTGAGTACCGACTGGGTTTCTGTTGACCAAAGGAAGTGAATTCTACGAACAGGTCCTGCTTTCTGGAAAGCTTAATAGCCGTACTTCTTGGGCGTTCTTGGAACGGACAGGTGTGTTTGGTCTGTTTGACTGCAGACTTCTCTTTGGCCTGCAAATAAATGGTGCAGATATGCGGGTGCTGACTTGAAGATTGTCAGCGGTTTGAATGCGATCCATTTAACAAACAGGGTACCGTTGTACAAAATAACATTAGCTCTAAGACTGTCGATCGTAAGTCTATGTTGAGGTATGGGACTAACGATCACCTTAGCCCTGAGGTTGTTTTGTACAACGGCACCCAGGGAGCCAATGATGACTCCTCAGACTCGGTGCCACTTGCACAAAACTATCCACACATGTCATGGTATCCCAATTGCGTAGATCGATGCTCATGCTGTCAATCACTGGATTGCCTGGTCCAGACTCGATTATTTACAAATCGTTGCCATATAGCTGGAATACTGCTGAGTGCGGCGTAAAACGTAACTCACTCACTCACTCACTCACTCGTAACACCTTCTACATTAAACACAACGTAATGCAATAGTTCAATGCTCCACACATCAATCCAGTTGGCGTTCATATAATTCACATTCTATAACAGCCACAAAGCAGAATAGTGTTCACAACGTAATGCAATAGTAAGGGTACCCGACCATATCTATACATTCTATGATAGACACAAAACAGCCTAGTGTTAATTAATCGGTTTTAGGCGACAATCCTAAACAGAAGCGCAGAAATATATGAGTGAGTGAAGGAGTGTGGTTTTACGCCGCTTTTACCAATATTCCACCAATATCACTGCGGGGGACACCAGAAATGGGCTTCACACATTGTACCCACAGAAATATATGAAAGGATGCTACGTTCCTCACAAACCTGAAGGTGGTGCCAAGGATCGTAACATATAGTAAAGAGATGTTCAATAGATTAAAGGTAACATAGAATAGCAATGGTAAATATTTATAAAAGTAGAAGATAATAAAGTTACATACCTGAGTGAATTTACTTGACAGCCACCGCATGATTTGTGACTGTCGTCGGTATTATATACCAACTCTAGCTATCGCAGTTAATCGCGTTTACAGATAAACCTTTCGATAACGTTATCACTCAGCTTGACCGAAGTATCGATGATAAAGGTGGACAATGGATGACCAGTTGCGAGTATGCCACGAAGGTATATGTGGCACGAGCGAGGTTTTACTAACGTGAAATACAAACAGCCCTAAAGACAGATAAATGTATTGCACCTTGGCTCTGTTAATTAAGAGTGAGTGAGTTTAGTTTTACGTCGCACTCAGCAATGTTCCAGCTATATGGCGGCGGTCTGTAAATAATCGAGTCTGGACCAGATAATCCAGTGATCAACAGCATGAGCATCTATCTGCGAAATTGGGAAACGATGACATGTGTCAACCAAGCCAACGAACCTGACCACCCGACCCCATTCGTCGCCTCTTACCACAAGCATGGGTTGCTGAAGATCAATATTCTAACCCGGATCTCATACATGACACAACAGGATGGTTTGAAAAAATTGTATATTTCATCAAAGAGTCAACATCATTTATAATGTTGCTACTGAAGGTATGACAATATGCTGGTGCACAAGATGATACAACATGTACAAATTGTCATACAAATGGTCCTAAAATACTTATTATTACATTCTGACTTTCCAATGACTTCTAAAGAAGTTTAAATATTCCATTTATATCATGACGTGACAGCTTACTATTGGAGGAAAGCCACAGAAGTAACACACGTCTCTGATCGATACCACTTTTATGAAACCAACAAGACAAGGAACTTGCTGAAAAACGCAGAATAATAAGGGTGAGCCAGGATTCGAACCCATAATCATGATGATCATAGTATTCTGGTGGGACAAAGGGATACAACTCTGCCAAGCAAATTGCAGCACCTTAGACGACTGGGCTTCCGTCCCCTTCCTGTTTTCGCAGGTGCACATGTATATCATAATAAAGATATATATACAATGTACATCCTTTTAAAGAAGTGACTATTCTCAGTTCCATTAATAGTTGAAAATATGAAGGACGAGCTCCCTGGTGCTCAGTGAAGCACTTGACATATATGAATGGAATTACTGTGATTAATATACTACTCAAGTGTGACGCCAACAAGAATGATCAAAGCATCAGTAAAATCACAGTTAATTATGAAGTACCCAGACATTTGGCAGTCGCAAACACTGATTCAGCAATCACAGGCAGTGTCAACATTAACTGATTACCGCCAAATCCCCTTATAATCTGCAAGCTGACAATTTTTCAAAATCCATTATGGAAAATGAGGACAGTTTTTATGGATATAGAACTTCTGTATTCTGTATAGCCTACATTTCGACATAGAATCTAACCGACATCTAGAATCTATGTCGAAACGTCGTCTTTACAGAACAAAGAAGTTGTATATTCATCTCCTCAACTTCTAGAATGCCAATCAAAGAAAAGAATCCATTATGATTACTTTCAGTCGTATGAAATGTTAAAAATGTAATGTTCAAACTTAACCTGCACAATGTAGTCTAGCCTTTAATAAATGTGACATACAAGACTCACTGTTGTAAAACACAATGCTATTGGACATTAAATCTTTGAACGTTTACAAGATGATCTTTGGGGATGTCCTACTGTGGCACCCCTTGTGTCTATGCAGGAGGCCTGAGTTTCTGAACTCTTTACCACACACACTGCACACGAAAGACTTGACCTTTTTCACTCTGTTGTGAAACCTCATGTGTGTCTTCAAGTTACCTGCTGTTGAAAATGCCTTCCCACACTCACTAGAAACATGAGGCTTTACACCACCGTGATATTTCATGTGCTCATTCAGACTGCCTGATCGCGCTAAGTGTTTGCCACACAACACACACTTATAAGGCTTCTCTCCACTGTGAATTCTCATGTGTGTATTCAGATTACCCGATTCTGCAAATGTCTTCCCACATTCGCCACACAGGTAAGGCTTGACTCCGCTGTAAAATCGCATATGTCGTTCAAGTTGATTACATGTTGTGAACGTTTTCCCAAATTCACCACACTGGTAAGGCTTGACTCCGCTGTGAAATCACATATGTCGTTCAAGTTGATTACATGTTGTAAACGCTTTCCCACACTCACCACACTCAACAGACTTGATTCCATTGTGACGTTTCATGTGAGTCCTTAAGTTACTTGAAATAGTAAACGACTTACCACACTGGCTACACTTGTAAGGCTTCAGTCCACAATGGCACCTCATATGTGTCTGAACATTACCTAGTGGTGTGAACATTTTCCCACAGTCACCACACTCAAACGGCTTGAAACCACTGTGACACTTCATGTGTCTGCAGGTGCCCCAGCTGTGTAAACGCGTTCCCACACTCTATACACGCATGAGGCTTTAGCCCACCGTGAAGTCTCATATGCTTCTGCAGGTTACTGGTGTCCCCCGCCCTGATATTGCAGGAATATTGCTAAAAGCGGTGTACTGTGAATTTTCATGACACTGTATTTGTTGGCATACATTTCAGTTTGTTGTTATTGAATAAACATGCTATACAATATTTCCTGTCTCTGCATCATTTGTAAGGTGAGATGAAACATCACAACAAATATCATTGCACTTAAAGTGCCATGCATGTAGCTCAATGTTAGACTACTTGTACCTTCCAGATTAATGTAGGACATTTTATAATAAATTGTATATTTTTGAATACACTGCACTTCTTTTTCTTTCTGAAACCTTAGTGGAGAAGCTTTCTTCTCATTTCCAGATTAAAAAATCCAATTTGAACACATCCAAGCTGTCGCCATGGCAACCACTATTATTTGGTATGCAGCTTGCTCTTGGGTCATCTGCCCTTCTCTCCCTGGCCTGCTTTGTTAGTCATAACATTCTCTTTCTAATAGCCCTTGTGTAGAGACCTTTTTGACATTTGAAGAGAACTGAATTCTTTCCTTTATTCTAAATCAATTATCTAATACAATTCATGTGCGACAAGTGCAAGTTCTTTAGTCGTGCTACAGATGTACCATCCTACAGTTTAACATGGAAACACCACTACACATTATACTAATTCCAAGCCAGCCAGCTCCTGCTTTATGCCCTACAGGCTGGGTGTCTGGCTGGGTAACAACAAATACCATGACACCATGCTATCCACAAGACCATGGAAGGCGGTGGGGTATTAACCTAAAGTCCTGTCGGAAATAGAGGAAAATGTTTGTTGGCTGTTACTATGTATCCCTAAAAGTGACACAATTGCAAATAGCATATGTCGAAAAATACAGCCTCCTCCTTTCCTCTGCCAGCCATGGTCTGGAATCTCCTGGGTCTTCTCCAGTTTCTTCTCCTGGTCTCCTCCACATCACTTTCAATCAGGGCTTGCTGGAGGACATCAATCTGGAGCAATGTATCATGGTCCAGGTGGTCCATACTCTATGGAAGTTGGGCAGTGACTGATGAATAGTCCAGATTCAACAGGTTTCTATACCCCATCGTGGAACATTACGGCAGCATTCCTGACGCATTTCTGACATTCGTGTTACATTCTAAGTGCATTTGAAGGACATTTGAAATATTCGAACTGCATTTTGTTTTAATTCTTTAACATTCGATCCATATTCGGGGGTCATTTCA